GGGTGACAGTTTGAGTATGAGCTCTCTGTGAAAAACTGACTACAGAATTCTTGGCCAGAGCTCCAGCAAGGCTGTGCTTCCTTTAGGTTTTGGGGAAAACCTAAAAAACATCTTGCTTATAAGCAAGTAAAATTGCTGTCTGGGATGACTTGATCAATTAATTTTGTGTTTTCATGGCTTATTAACAAGTCTGTCAACAACCTCAATAACTGTGCTTTGTCATTCTGTGAACTCATGAACTTTAAATAACTTCAGAATTAAAAAGAAGCTGGGAAATTGAAAAGCAAGTATCCACAAAAAAGCTTCATAAATACTCTCTTTTTAGTGCATTCTCTTCTTTGGTCCCTTCTCAGTTCTCAGCATTTCTAATAGGTCATTTAAATCAAAAGTTGGTCAGGATAAGGAAGTTCTTTATTTATACAACAATATGTTAATGAGAATATTTGGACATGAGGGAAAGGAAAGTGAATTTCTATGTTCAATTCTTAGTTGAAATTCTATCCAAACAGCACTTCTGTCAGCAGGGAACACCTCTGAAATATTAGTCAGCAAATCAGTGTGTTTGTTTGCCTCCCTCTGTTGAATCACACCTGTGACTTTACCTCTTGGTGTTGCTTTAATCATCTGTTTCTGTCTGATCTGCAAGTGCTTGCATTAAAATCAGAGTGTGATGGCACAGGAGAATGAAATGATGGTAGAAATGTGGATTTGTAAGTGCATTGCTGACCCTTCAGGCTGTTCCCAATTAAATTTTCCACATGAGCTTGCACAGAAGATGAATCAGTCACTTCTCTGGGGTGTGTTTGCTGTGGGTTTGGTTTTCCTGCTGGCTTTGCTGCCCTGAGCATCCCTGTGTGTGCAGCTTTGTTTGGGGGTGCCTTTGCTGCCCTGAGCATCCCTGTGTGTGCAGCTTTGTTTGGGGGTGCCTTTGGAGGGGAGAGCAGCCTCAGGGTGTGCTGAGAGCTCAGAGCAGGGCCTGTGCTCTCCTGCTGCCCTCCAGAGTATGAACTCACATCCTGGTCAGCATGCTGGGGACTGCTGCCATTCATTAAAGGGGAAAAACCAACCCAGAAACCCCTCCCCAGAGCAGAAAGGTCTGGGAGGCCTGTGGCAAATGCATTGCAGTGTGCAGTGACAGAGACTTCAGAGAGAGCTGCTCAGGGAGAAGTCAGAGCTGTCAGCGGTGTGGGCACTGCCAGGCTGCTGCAGCTGATGTGCCACAGCAGCTCTGCCTCTCCTGGGATGCTGCTGGGGCTGCCCTGGCACCAGGAGCTGTTGGATTGTGCACTGAACCTACAGAAAAGCACCTTGTCAGGTCACAGCAGAGACCCAGAGCAAATCTCTGTTCTGTTTGCTGGTGATACCATCAGAAAGGTCAAGTTTACTCAGTCATGGTTCTGTTTTAATTTAATGCATCCTTGGTAAGATTCCAGAGACTCCTGTCTTTTTTTTATATAAGTTGTCATTATTAATCTTCTTATATTTTAATCTTTCTTCACTAATGCAACTTTATTGAGTGGATGAATGAGCCTCAGTAAAACTAGATAATTCCACTGTAGTAGTTAGATGGTAGAAAAATCTGGATTAAAAATAAGTAAAAGGCAGAATAAGTTATAAATATACTCTCAGTTCTTCCAATTATAAACTCTCTTAAATTAAGAGACCATGCAATATTGCAAACCAATATTAAAATGTAATCGATGCCTTCAGCAGATGATAATCTTACAAATCAAGTGCACAGTGAGTGTGCCTTGGTACAGGGACCAAGGAGAACTTGATCTTAAATCCCTGGGTTCTCTTCAAAGACAGGAAGAAAAGGGGGCATTTTCAGCAGTGGATCCAGGGGCACCTGAATTGTGTCTTAATCTTGCAGCTCTTCTGTGCCACTGCTTTATTTCTGATGTGGCAGTGCAGAAAAAATAAGCCCTTACTTATTACAAAATGAAGCCATGCACAAATTTTGCTCCTCACATAGGCAAAGGGGAGGTAATTGCCTTTGTTTATGTTAATTTCTGTCTCTTTTTGCTTGCCAATCCTTGCCTACCTGCACTGATGTGAACTTGAAGTGTGTGGGGTTGTGGCAGAATAAATACATCATGTGAGATCCTGGTTTGGTTGAATCTAAAGGTGTCTTTCCCTCGAAAGTTGTTCTGTAACGTTGGAGTTCATGGCCAATGAGGGGTTAATGTGGATTAGGAATGCAGCAGGTACTCCAGGGCTCCCTGGGTTGGTCTGTTGAGTTCTAAGCTTCAAAACATGTTGTTGTTGAAAATTTGGGGTCTCAGGCAAAATCTGTCAGTTCTGCTCCAGCTCTTCAAACTTTCTGATCTTTACAAAAGTTTGGTTGCATCCAGGTTAAAATCATTTCACTGCTTATAAATAGGACTTGAAGACAGTTGTCCAGAGGTATGTTAATGCCACCTCATGAAATGTGGGCCACAGCACGTATTTAGCTTTTTAAGCAATTGTTTTATTGTTAAAGGCATAACAAAACATCAAAAAAACACCCCAACCCCACAGGAACACAAGTGTCATAAATTATCAGATTGGACACTTTCAAACTGTGATATTGGGAACAAAAGCAGCCTAAAAAAAATCTTTGTTTTCATAATTGCGGTACAAAAGCTTCAGGCATAAATATCCATTATAGTGAATCATGTAAAAAAAAAATTAAAAGTGAAGCAGTTTTGGTGAGGGCAGGCAAGGGCTTTGCAGGCAGCTTTGTGTGAGTTGCATTTCACTTCTTACTAGTGGTGTTAGAAAGTAGCCAATAAACCAAATCTGAAAGTGCTTCTAGCAGTGACATTTTGCCTGGTTTTGTGCTTGTGTCTGTGTGTGTGTTCGAACCCATGGATGCACAAAATACGTGAGAAGGAGTCAAAACCAGGGAGGAATTCCTTATTTTAGCTCTTCCTGTTCAGAGCTCTGCTGTTGGCCTGTCCCAGCCGTGTGTGAGGTGGCACCCACTGCCACCAGTTGAGTGTCACAGCCCATCTCAACACACAAAATTAATTGCAGTTTCACAGTTCACTTCCTTTTCTGCCTTAACATGCACTCATATTCCTTAAGCTAACTTTTTAAAAGTAAGATGTAGAGAATTCCATGTATGAAAACAGAGTTCCTTTCCATATATCTTTGACTTGTGAGAAGGAAAAAATATCCCAAACATGTTTCAGCTTAGTCCTCCAAGTTGTACCAGTTCTCTTTCAAATGTCACCATAATTTACATTCAGATGCCACATCTTTAATAACTCTTTTATTATCCTAATAGTCAGTCTTCAGTCCAGAGACCGAATAGGCACAGGAGGACAAGTTGTGGATTGCAGTCGCTTGTTCGATAACGATTTACCAGATGGGTAAGCTGACATCCCTGTGATGTAAACACAAATCCAGCTCATGCAACAGACTTCTGTGATAGGAGAATTCAGTGTGCAAATAAATAGTTTTAAATGTTGCACTCAGAGTTCTGCAGCTCTGCATTCAGAACAGGAGCTGAGCCAGCTGGGGTACACAGAGCAGTTGATAGTTTGGATGTTGTCTTATCTCCACTTGGAAAAGAGGAGGTGACATATGTAAAGAAATGCTTTGAAAAATAACTTGTCCAAGAAAACACATATTTCAGATTAAATCACAGCCAGCAAAGTGCCTTATGCATGCAGTAGTTTTGTAGCAAGGAAGTGACCACACTGCCTGGCTGCCCTTCTGCAGAGGTGAAGATCCACTGTGATAAACACGGATCACTTCTTCTTCAGGCACCTCTTAGGGAAGAAAACATGACTGGGAAAGGTAATGCAGCCCAAGTTCCTGCTGTATTTACCTTCCAAAAGTAGGGTTTAGGATTCTTGTTTGTCCCTGTGAGAGTCAATGACATCATTATCACCTAGAACAGTTTTGCAAACACAGGAAAATACTCTGGTTTAGGTTCTGGTGCTGTCAGCAACTTCTTCAGAGCAAACACAGACTTTCTGAATGTGATTCTTGGCAGGTAAAGACAGGAGAAAATAAGTTTTCAGAGGATGAATTTTGAAATGCAAATCATCATCCTGGTCTGTAACAGCATTCTTTTGTTAATTTGGAGTCAAGATAAGTCAAAAACATTTCTGAAAATGCTTCTAAATTTTCACTTCCGAATGTTCCTTGCATAAATATTGCTCACTTAATTGTGTAACTGCAAAGTTTGCTGTACAGCCTCGTGTGTTTCAGTGTGCAAATTTAGTGATAATTCAAAAGTCACATTATTTGAAGCTGACTTTTTAATGAAAGCAAGAAGTGCATGAAGATGCTATGAAAGCATTTGTTGGAGTCAGTGGTCAAAAGAAGTTAAATGCATTATTAAACATGTTTCCAAGAAGTTCCTTTATGCGGGTATTTGGATTTAATTAGAATTCAAGTCATTATTGAATGTGAAGGTGTGATACTGTTAATGATGTGCCTGGTTCCAAGGGAAGAATATGTTCAACCATTTCAGAGTTGAACTTTCAGTTGTTTCCTGTCACCTCACTCAGCTAATGTGATTCGTAGCAGTGTAAGTCTTCCTGAGCTGGGCATTTCTGTTGGAAACATTTTGTGCCCTGGTTTCCTGGAAATGCCCCTCAGTGCCTTTGTGTGCCCTGTGCCCTGCAGGTGGGAGGAGCGCAGGACTGCTTCTGGAAGGATCCAGTATTTAAACCACATCACGAGGACAACGCAGTGGGAGCGACCCACACGGTGAGGAGCTGCTGGGACGCTGTGGGAGGATGAGTTTGGTTATTGAGCAGTTCCAAGGGGCTCTCACAGGGGGATTGGGTTGCTCATTCCTCTGCTCAGTCACTCTGCACAAGCTGAATGCTTTCCTTCTTCAGCATCCTTCTCTTTCAGTCTGCCTAATGTTTAACTCAGAAGATCATTCTGACTGCTTTTATCTCTGCCCTAGTTGTAATATCTTTCTTGCAGAGATGCTGTGATAGAGCTCTATAAATACGGATATTACATTTTGCAGACATCTTAAGGGGTGAAGAAGTGAGACCATGAGTAGCTGTCAGACCCTGTTCTGTGACCATGTAACCCAGAACAGTTACAGCTGATGGCTGCAGAGTGTGTTTGGAAATCATTGTGATCACTTTTTCTGATCACTGTAAACGTGTGTTGTGAAACTGTTCCTCAAGCCACTTTTGCTGTTGCCTGTGCTGCAGGCAGTGTCATTGCATTTTTATCAGAATCCTCTGCAGATTGACTGTGCCTGCAGATGTTCTCTTCCATTCTCAATATTATTCTGGTCTCTGCATGGATATATTTGATTTTAAATAATCTGGACTGTTAACACTGTCAGCTCTGATAATGTTTGCAGTTTTGGATTGAAAGGACTGAGCAGTTCTTTGTTTTCCTATTTCTGGTATATTGTATATTCTGGTATATTGAAATACCCATTCTAAGCTCCAGACACAGTAGAAAAACAAATGCAAAATGTGTCATTTGTGTTGGGGATTTCTTGTGACCTTGTAAATCCCCCTTTAACCCATTTAAAATCCTTTTGAAAGCAGCATTGAGATACAAAATCACACTGCTCTTGTGAGCAACTGCTTTTATTCTTGCTTAGCCCTTTTTCACCATCCTAGGCTAATAACATTCCATAAAAGTTAGAAGGAATAACAAGGCCTGATCACTTCCTCAGCCACATGAAGGCAAGGTGAGAAAGTTTGGAGGTTATCAGAACAAGACAACCCCCATGGCAGGGAGAAATGATGAGGGAGGACTCCATCTTATCAGAAGGCTAATTACTATTTATCCATCTTATCAGAAGGCTAATTAATTACTTTATTATATTATTCTATACTGTATTACGCTATATTACATCTAAACTGAGTTTGCCAAGCACTCAACTCAAACTGCACAGAATCTCATGACTGTCAGCCCACAGTCCCCCCACACACACCTGGATTCACCAGTGAATCAAAACACTCACACCAAAATCCAATTATCAATTCCCTTCAGGTAAACAATCTTCCATGATGCATTCCACTTGTGAACAACACAGGAGCAGTAAATGAGATAAGAATTGTTTTTTCTTTCTCTGAGGATGTAAAACCCAGAAATATTCTTGGGAGGAATTGTGCCTTGCTTTTTCTCTGTGAAGAGAAATGTGGTGACAGGAGGTGAGGAGCTTCCTGGTTCCTCTGGTGAGCGCGCACCAGGAGCTTCCTGCTCCAGCTGAGGTGTCCCCAGAGCCCGGGGTGCAGCTGCTCCCCACGGGTGTGCTGTGTGACCCTCATGGCCACCACACTGAGCTTGTCCCTCTGTCCCCAGGCCAGCATCCGAGTACTTGAGCCCAGTGAGCTCGGGCCTGGTTCCGCTGGTGAGCAGGGACCTGCTCCAGTCGAGGTGTCCTGCTGGCCAGGTCGCTGAGGTGTCCCCAGAGCCCGGGGTGCAGCTGCTCCCCCACAGGTGACCCTCATGGCCACCACACTGAGGTTGTCCCTCTGTCCCCAGGCCAGCGTCTGAGTACTCAAGCCCGGTGAGCACGGGCCTGGTTCCGCTGCTGAGTGCGCACCAGGAGCTTCCTGCTCCAGTTGAGGTGTCCCCAGAGCCCGGGGTGCAGCTGCTCCCCACAGGTGTGCTGTGTGTCCCTCATGGCCACCACACTGAGGTTGTCCCTCTGTCCTCAGNGTAGATATTCTATCTTTGGCTGTTTTGAGAAAGTAAAAGTAAGTTTTGAGAACACAAATCTTGGTATTGGAAACAAAAGGAGGGGTTGGTGTGTTATCTCTGACCTATTGTGAGCTCGGGTTTGCAATATGCATGAACTTAATTAACACGGTTATAAAAAGTGACTGATTGAGTCCATAAACGGAGTCGATGCTGAACCAACACAAAGGTGGGTCTTCTCCCTCCACTTCAGTATCCCTGGGCTGATGATTTGATTCCCTTCTGGAGAAAAGAAGCAGAGGACGTGGGAAATGAGGGAGCATGTTGATATGCAACAAGAGTAATGGAAAAAAACTGTAAAATCTTCAGAAAAAAATTCCTTTCTGATTGTAGCTATTAAGGAAGGATGATGAGAAGGTATTTTTAGGTTGTTTTATAGAACCAGCCATGGTTGTATCTGGATGCTGCATTGTCTTTCCAAGGCTGTGATTGTAATTCACAACATATTACAAAAAGCAGAGAGAAAAGGGGGGGTTCTGGCAAAATGTTTTGCTTGAGCAAATTTGAAGTATCTCTTGCTGGATTGTCCAATGGAATTTAGACCTGTGTGAAGTAGTTTTTGTGGGTGGTGGTTTGTTTTTCTCTTCTTCAGAAAACTTCCCTTAAAAATTCTTATTTTGTTGAATTAGTGTATTATTTTCAATATAAAATCTTGTCCTCTAGGAAAAACGACTTTGTTTGATCCTGGCTGTTGAATTCCCTGATGACAGAAGTGTATTCAGTATTTCTAATCCAAAGTAAAACTCAGTGTGGTGTCAGGCCTTGTTATTAGAAAATAATCCTTTCCCTCTCCAAATTTTCTTCATAATAATTTAACCCCTTTTATAGTGTCACCTGTTATTCCTTACTCTAGGGAAATGTATTTCCATTTATAAACAGTCACATTATCTTCACTTCCTATTTAAAGCAGCAGTAAAAGATTAAATCTCTTTGGTGCAACAACTCACTGCCTGGCTGTTATTGCCAGGTAATTTTTTACTGTATAAAATACTCAGTGTCAGGTCTCAGCTTTTCATCTGCACCAGATATTAAATAATTTTTTCACATACCATGTGGTGGCAAATGCAAATGACGCAGTCAGATGGAGCTGTTGTAATATATTCATGCAGTAATGTCTGAATTAAGTTGTTAATTCCAAGAGAATTTTGTGGCTTGCTAACCTGATTCAGCATAAGTGGATATTCTGTTGTATAAGAATTTTTTAGAAGGACTTTTGCAGTGCTCTAAAGAGCAAATAGGGGTTGGCTTCTGCCTTATGTGGTTCTTAATTCAGCTCTTAGTGTGAAAAGGAAGTGGTTGAATTAGCTGCTTGGAATCTTCAGCCTGGATGGGTGTGTGTGTAGAGGGGGAATCTGGGACACTTTCCAGAAAGAAATTGCCAAATAGTTGCTGTCTGGATGTAGTTTAATGTCAGTAAAATACCATGCTTGCCCTGGATGTATTCCCCTTCCTTATTTTCAGTCTTGTTTGTGTTTCCCCCATTGTTCAGGCCTTTCCTCAGAGCTTTTGAATAACCAGCCTTGACACATTTACAGCCTGCTTGCATTCAGAACTAAACTACCTAAACCAGCAGTTCAGGAACTGAAATCTCCTTTTCCTCTTCCTACCCCTTTCTTCCCTCCTGTGGTAGCCAGCCCTGTCCCCCACTGTCCTGCCCAGCCTCTCCAGCAGCCCCTGCCCCTGAGGCACAGCAGGTCCATCCCCTTTCCCTCTGAAAGGTGTTGGTACCGTCAGCTCCACCAAAACCTGCTTCAGTCTGTGCCCCTCAAGGTTCCTCTTCATGGAACCTCACCCAGCTCCCAAAAATAACTCCTCCTCTTCCCAAAATCTCCTCACTGCAGCTTCTGCTGCTCTCTGGTACCTTCACATCCTCAGGCTGCTGCACTGCCCTGGCAGAATCACTTTGCTCCCCCAGTCGTCATTTATTTTGTCTGGTTAATGCTGAGGATCCTGGATTTTACTCAGGGGGAGAAGGCAGCAGCTCTGTCTGGTGCTGCTTTAGACAATCCCATCCTGGATGAGCTCCTAAAGAGCCATCAAACAGCTCTGGGCACCTTTTCCTTCTCCTCGTGGGGCTTGAGGCCCTTTGGATAAAGCTGATGCCCTTCACAGCAGCCAGTGAGTGCCACATGTCCCTGCCCCATCTCTTGTCCATCTCT